TCTGATTTATGAAAAAAAATCTGTTAGTAGAATTTGCTGGATTATGTTTCTGATTAAAGAAATATAAAACTCAGTCGAAGTGGTTGATCATATTTAAAAAAGGTCAGTCGAATTGTACTTGTCCATATTTGGTATATTTTTTTGAGGGGGGGGTGTCACAAGAAGGGAAATATTCAGGTTATCGTTCTCATAACTGATCAGCTTCGACATACCCAAGCTCCTAAGTCACCTTCTCGTACTCTCTTGGTGTCCAGCGACTTAGCCTTAGAAATATATCAATCCAGACATCGTCGTGTATCCAGTCAAAACTGTCGCGCAACTGTTGCCAGAATGAGAGACCGTGTTGCGCGACTCTATCTTGTTTTGAGGATTTTCCCGAAACAGAAATCACGACGTTTATTATACAGTTTGATTTAAGTTCATATCTGATACAACTTACCCTGACGCCAAATCAGAGGTTAATATTACGAGCGAAGAGAAAAGAAGAAAAATACATACAGGTCTTTCATCTACTCTCAACTCCAATAAAAAAAGGAAAACGTGAAAAACAAAGAAAGAAACAATCCTCAACCTCTCCTTCCTCCTGTGCCTCAAAATCGTCGGAGATAAAAAAATAAAAGAAAGAAAGAATTAAAAAGCCCAGGAAGTGAAACGAAAAAAACAAACAACAAACTCACCTCCCTAAAAATAAACCAAAATAAACAAACAAAAAGAAACCATGAGAAAAAAATCAATCCAACACCAACCTCACCCGGAAACAAACCCCCACTCAACACACAACATCACCTGGAAATAAACGATCCAAAAATAAACATTACACGAAGGGCTAAACAACGGCAAGCTCCGCCCACCTGTTCCACGACCGTTTTCATGATAACAGTGCAGTTACGGACGTCCATCGGGAACTGATCGGTGTCCCATCCCAGGTCCGGCGAGCCTGTGTTGGCGTCGATACTTCCCAGCATGCCGTACCTGCGGTCGAAGAATAAAGAAAATGAAAAGAAAATATATGAAAGATTAAAAAATAAAGAGAAAGGGAAAGAAAATTTATGTAAGATTTAAAAAATAATGAGAAGGAAAGAAAATTTATGTAAGATTAAAAAATAAAGAGAAGGAAAGAAAATTTATGAAAGATTAAAAAATAAAGAGAAGGGAAGAAAATTTATGTATGATTAAAATAAAGAGAAAGGAAATGAAAATCTATGTAGGATTAAGAAATAAAGAGAAATGAAAAGAAAATATATGTAAATTAAAAAATAAAGAGAAACGAAAAAGATTATAAAATAAAGAGAAAGGAAGAGAAAATATATGTAGGAATTAAAATAATAGAAAGGAAAAGAAATATGTAAATAAAAAAAAAGAGATATGAAAAGAAAATATATGAAAGATTAAAAGAGAAAGCAAAAGGAAATAAGATTACAAAATACTCCCACTCACGCCGACGCGAAGACGACGTCGTGCTCGTGCGGGTGGCCGGCCAGCGTGGTGTGGTTGGGCTCGATGTTGAGCTTGAAGTGCTGCGTGAGGCCGTACTGGTGCAGGAAGGACATGACCGTCTGGGCGTCGTAGTCGTACTGGTGGCGGGTGGGCTCCTTGGCCTTGGGCTCGATCAGGAGCTGGCCCTTGAAGCCGATCTTCTCCTTGTAGACTGAGGGGGGGAGAGGGAGACGGGCGTGTGAGTTTGGCGCGGCGGTGTGGTGGTGGGGGTGGCGCGGTGGTGGCGGTGGGGTGGCGGCGTGGTGGCGGTGGGGGTGGCGCGTGGTGGCGGTGGGGGTGGCGGCGGTGGTGGCGGTGGGGGTGGCGCGGTGGTGGCGGTGGGGTGCGGCGGTGGTGGCGGTGGGGGTCGGCGGTGGTGGCGGTGGGGGTGGCGGCGGGGTGGCGTGGGGGTGGCGGTGGGGGTGGCGGCGGGTGGCGGTGGGGGTGGCGGCGGTGGCGGTGGGGTGGCGGGGGTGGCGGTGGGGGTGGCGGCGGGTGTGCGGTGGGGGTGGCGGCGGGGGCGGTGGGGTGGCGGCGGGGGTGGCGGTGGGGTGCGGGCGGTGCGCGTGGGGGTGGCGGCGGGGGTGCGGTGGGGTGGCGGCGGGGGTGGGGTGGGCGGTGCGGCGGGGGTGGCGGTGGGGTGGCGGCGGGTGCGGTGGGGGTGCGGTGGGGTGGCGGTGGGGTGGCGGTGGGTGGCGGTGGGGTGGCGGTGGGTGGTGGTGGGGTGCGGTGGGGTGTTGTGTTGGTGTGTTAGTGTTGGTGGTGTTAGTGGTGTTAGTGTTGCTGGTGTTGGTGTGGTTTGGTGGTGGGGGTGGTGGTAGTTTAGTGTTAGTGTTGGTGGTGGTGTTGGTGGTGGTGTAGTGTTAGTGTGTGTGGTGGTGTGGTGGTGGTGGTGGTGTTAGTGTTAGTGTTGGTGTTGGTGTTGGTGGTGGTGTTGGTGGTGTTGGTGGTGGTGGTGGGGTGTGTTGGTGTTGGTGGTGGTGTTGGTGTTGGTGGGGTGGGGTGGCGGTGGGTGTTGTGGTGTTAGTGTTAGTGTGGTGGTGTGTTGGTGTGGTTTGGTGTTGGTGGTGGTGGATCATTTGATCCCATCTCAAATATCAAAATCATCTCTCAATACAAAAAAAAAAAAAAAAAAAAAAGGTAGACATAACGATCAAAATCATCACTCTTCATATAGAAATAAGAAAAAGTAGACCTACAAGATAAAAATTAATCACACCATAAAAAAAAACATATCTAAAATGAACCTCCCGCCCCTACCGATGACCATCCTGAAGAAGGCGGCGAGGTGGTCCAGGTCCGCCTTGACGTCGGTGTTGAGCAGGGAGAGGTACCCCTCGCGGCCGCCCCAGAACACGAAGTTCTCCGCCCCGAGTCTTGGGCGACCTCCAGCCCCTTCTTTGACCTGGGCCCCGCGTAGGCCGTCACGTGGGCGTCGCAGCTGGTGGCGGCGCCGTGCATGTACCTGAGGCGAATCATCCTGTTGGTTTCTTTTCGATCTCTTTTTTTGATTGCTGATATGAGAATGTTTTCGAATAAATACAATGGTGCTTGTTAGTAAATGGATTGAAATACAATGACCCTTTGATTCAGACAAGCTCTTGACCGCATCTTATAATTCTAATAATTCTAAATATGGATATTGAAAAAAGGAAACGAAAGTAATAAATAAATAAAGTAAACAACCCTGTCGCCTATTGCGTAACATCCAAACCTCGACCCAGAACAACTAATATAAAAAACAACAACAATGATAATAATAACAATAAAATAAAAAAAATCTTCCTCCTATCACCCGCCCACGGACGCCCTCCGCCTCACCTGGGATGGGCGAAGAGATTGCACGTCGCCCACAGCAGCTTCACGCCCGTCTTCTTCTGCAACTCGGCCGCCAGTTCAACCAGCTGGTCCAGGTTGGCGTTGGTCTCCGCGATCGTGGCGCCTTCGGGAGCCAGGTCGCGGTCGTGGAAGGTCCAGTACTTGTTGCCTTTGGGGAGGGAGAGGGTCACGGACTGCTTCTGGGGAGGGAGGGGGTCGCGGAGTGCCCTTTGGGAGGGGAGAGGGGCCTCGGAGTGCTTTTAGGGAGGAAGGGATCTTGGAGTGCCTTTGGGGAGTGAGAGGGGTTACGGATTATGTTTGAGGAGGGAGAGGGGGCCTCGGCGTGCCTTTGGGGAGGAAGAGAGGCTATGGGTGGTCTTTATGGAGGAAGAGGGGTCATTGAGTACCTTTGGGGAGCGAAAGGGGCCACTGAGTGTGCATCTGCTTAGGCATAGTTCCGGGTTGTTGGGGAGTTTTACATCTTTACCTTTTTAAAAAGTGAGCAGCTGTGCCGTGGTGAAATTTGTGTCTAATGATTTTAGGCTGACGAAGGATTACGATTTGCAAAGTTCCACACTGTATGTTTTCCTCAAATTTGTACACAGAGTTATAAAATAATTATCATGCATCCAACAAGTTTAAAAGTAAAACCCCGTCAGTAATTTCTACAATGATGTAACACCTTTTCTCATGAAAATTACCGATGCACCTTTATATAGCGAAAAGTGTCCCAAAGACCAGAAAAGGAAAAAATTAAAGCAATAGCAACAACAAAAAGCATATAATAAAATCATAACTATTTTATGGTAATAATCACAATGACAATAAATTATAGCAATAACCACGACCATCCCCCACGCACCGAGTTTGGAGAAGAACTCGAAGGCCGCCCGAAGACGCCGCTTGGCATTCTCCAGCGATTCGGTGCCGTCGTCCCAGGGCCTCCTGATGGTGCCGGCGCCGAACGGGTCGCTGCCTGCGGGGCGAGGGCAAGGGGTCAGATTGGGTGAGTGAGTGAGATGGAGTGAAACAAGGTCATTTAGTAGGTTAGGAAGGGTTGGGATGAGGTGAAATAATGGGGTGAGGTTGAGAAAAAAGCAGTGATGAGGAGGGAGTGAGAGCGGGTGAGATAAGGGTGAGAAGCAGAGTAAGATGGTGAGAGACAGTGGAAGATGAGGTAAGATGGAGTGAGATGAGGTGAAAACTTAGGAAGCTGGGTAAGATGGGTTGGGGGAGAGGATGGGGTAAAATGGGTTGGGACAGGGCAAGATGGGGTAAAATGGGGTCGAGTGACGGGCTATGTATGAATATGAGCTGAGACAAGGTGAGAAACAGGACGAATAGAATTACAACAAGGCAAATATGCTACGAAACAAGATTATGCATGGGGGAAAAATAACAATAAAAAATAATAACAATAATAAAAAAAATAATAGAGATACACAAAACCCCAACAACCAACCAATCAAAACCCCACCCATAACACCACAACATCCGACCTTTCCTCCATTCATCAACCCCAACCCCTCATCCCCGCCCCTCCTCCTCTCCTCCTCCTCCTGCTCCCCCCCCCCCTTACCTGTGCCGCGGAACGAGTGCCAGTACGCCACGGAGAACCTCAGCCACTCCTCCATGGTCCGCCCCAAGACCTCCTGCTGGGCGTCATAGTGGCGGAAGACGAGGCTCTCATCGGGGGCGGCGTCGGGGTTGTACTGGATGGGCGAGATTCCTGGAACGAAGAGCGGGCGGTTAGGATGGGGGCAGAGGGGCGAGTGGGGAGGCGGAGGAGGGGGAAGGGGAGGAGGGGTGGAAGGAGGACGGGGAGGAATGGGGGAGGGGGAGGGCGATGAAGGAGAGGAAGTGGGAGGGAAGGTGAGGATGGGGAAGGAAGGTGAGGAAAGGTGAGGAAAGGGGATGAAAGGGAGGAAAGGGGAGGAGAGAGGAGGGTTGGAAGGGAAGGATGGGGAAGGATGAGGGAGAGGGCGAGCGAGGGGAGGGGCAAGGGTGGATGGGGGAGGGGGCAAGGGGTGGAATGGGGAGGGCAAGGGGTGGATGAGGGAGGGGAAAGAGGAGGATGGGAGGGGGAGGGGAAGATGTGGGTGGGGGGCGAGCGAAGTAGAGGAAGTGGGAGGGAAAGGGAGGATAGAAAGAGGGAGCGCGGTGAGGGGAGCGAAAGTTGGAATGGTTTGGGGGGACGGAGAGGTGATAGAGAGGGGGGGAGGGAGGGAAAATAAAGAGGGAGAGGAAGGGAGAAGGGGGAAGGCGAGGGGGACAGAAGGAGAAGCAGAGTTTGGAAGAGAGGAAAAGGGAGAAGGTGGGTGTGAGAAGGTGGAAGAAGGAAGCGGGAAAGAAAGAGGGAAAGGGAGAGGCAAAGCGAGAATTGGAAGGTAGTAAATCTATCTCTTGACATTTTACGAATGCAGGAACATACAAACAAACAAATAAGTAAATCCATCCATTTATCTGTCAATCAACCAGTCTCCTTACATTATCTATCAAGCCCTAAATCTCTGAATTAAGAGTTCTTATCCTGGGGTCCATGAATGGGTTTCCAGGGGTCCGCGAATGAAAAGTAAGTTTACTTTTTTGCATAAAACAGGATGGATAAATAACCTCACGGATGGGGACTCGAACCCTCGATGTTACAAGCAGATAATTGCAAGGCGAATGCTCTACCACTGAGGTGCGCGACCCACTAAAAAGTGTGCAACTAAGAGCTAGCTTTCATAGGTAATGTCTATGAAAGTTAGCTTCTAGTTGCACACTCCTTTTAGGGAATCGCGCAGCTCAGTGGTAGAACATTCGCCTTGCAATTGCATGCTTGCAACAGTGAGGGTTCGAGCCCCCATCGGTGAGGTTGTTTATTCATATGAATGCGGTAATGCATTATTCAATCTTTCATAAAACAAGATTTTTAAAAATTGTTTATTCTAAAGTCCAATAGTGTACGAGACAATCAAACCTCAGTGAATAAAAGTAGTTTATCCTGCATTTGGTGTTTATATATTTCAAGGGGTAGGGGACCTGATCCATAGCCTCCATCAGATTTTTAGAGGGGTCGCGACTCTAAAAAGAGAACCACCGCTCTAAGCAATAGAGCTCGTACATTTACTTCCTATTCCTTATTTCATAATAAAACGTCACGAAGAAGAAGAAAAAGAAGAAGAAGAAAGAGAAGAAGAGAGAAAAAAAACATTGCGAGAAAGCACACACTCGTCTTACATGAAACTGAGTAGATTCTGTTTAAGAGATTGTCTTCATTTCCGCGTTTTTCTTGGTGTCCCTTTTCACCATCTTGGAAGAGAGAGAGATAAATAGACAGATAGATAGAGATAGAGAGATGAAGAGGCACAAAAAGCAAGATGGGAAGTGAAAAAAAAACGAATGAAAGCAAGTGGAGCGAACGAGAGAGAGAGAGAGAGAGAGAGAGAGTGAGAGAGAGAGAGAGAGGAGAGAGAGAGAAGAGGAGAGAGAGAGAGAGAGAGAGAGAAGAGGAGAGAGAGAGAGAGAGAGAGAGAGAGAGAGAGAGAGAGAGAGAGAGAGAGAGAGAGAGAGAGAGAGAGAGAGAGTGTGAGTGAGAGTGAGAGTGAGAGTGAGTGTGAGAGTGAGAGACGGGAGGAGTGAGAGTGA